AGTCATAATAGTATTAGAAGAGCCCACAAATTCTCCCCCAATAAACACAGCCGGGACAGCAGTGCTGCATCCTAACCTCATTAGAGCCCTCTCCATTTCTTTTCCTCTTGAATCCTCGTCGAGCTCGTAGATCTTAGGACTCACACCTTGCTCATAAAACAGTCTCTTGATAGTATGGCACATGCAACATGAACTCTTACTAAAGATCACAACAGCTTTCTCAGAAGCCAGTTTCGCTATACGATCCATCAAATGCTACTAAAAAGACCAAAGCAATGTGGCACGAGTAATTTAATTAGTATGCTACGAAGTTGTTAGAAAGGTTGCTAATTTGATGGAAAATACAAGATTTTCTTGACCAAATTAATGAAGATTTTTGTATCAGACTTGGTTTTTGATATGATATGGTCTCATGAACTTGTATTTATAGAGCCAAAGGGGTTGGATTACTTATTTTTAATTGTTCTATTAACTTTTCATGTAAAAAAATAAAAACAAAAAAGATGGAAATTCTTTCAGATATTTTGGAATAAATGCTAAAATAGATGACCCCTTGTCTAAAATGACCTTTGTGGATCATTACAAGTTTCTTTCCACTTGTGCTTGGAATCTTTAAGGCCATTGAGATAACCAGAAACTACTTAAAGCATATTTAATAACCTGATTTTCATCATATTTTTTCGAGTGGATATAATTTGTATTTCTCATTATCTTGTGAATACATGCTGGGGGCATGGGGAATGTCAACTATTATAGATGAGAATATGATAATTTTAGATAGAGAAGATGTCGGCTAACTTGCATCACTTCCTTGTCTTTCTTGGTTGGACCACCCGACTAGTTATTTTCGACAAGTCTTTCCTCGCTTTTAGAGGAAAACATGGCAGAAATGCATCATGACATTGCAGAAGGGATCCACATGTGGTTGGATCCTTAAGCCTATTTAGATAAATTTGACCCAACATATATTCGCATGATATAGCATGATGGTAAGCTGATTTTCTTCGTGTGGATATATATTCGTATTACTCACTTTTTTGTAAATACGTGAGGAAGAGCATGGGGAATGTCAACTATGATAGTTGAGAATATGATGATTTTAGACAGAGAAGATGTGCAAGGGCGGACCCAGACAGTTCGAATTGTGGGGTCAAAATTTTTTTTCTGAACAACGTATCATGAACAAAAAGGAAAAATTGGTTGTTTGCTATT